TGTTCTCATTCATTTTTTTCCTCCTATTTTTTGTATATTACATATAGTCACTCGATTCATTATCTTATCACCATTATCAGTCACGCTCGTTATTAATCTGACACGTGACCCAGCCTCCCATATAGATGCAAGAAAGTTTATTATATTCCGTCCAGTCTCCGAAAAGGGACAAGCTGGCAACTCGCCCCCGAGTCTGGAGTACTCCGATTCGATAAGTTTATTTTAAGAAAAAAACGGGAAAAAAATATTGTACAAAAGTAAAAAAAAAAATCCTGGCTAACGTTAGCATATATATTAAGTATCAGCTGATTAGAATAAAAATAAATCAATAAATCGATAAATAAAGAGAAAAGGTGAATCGGAATCCTTCAGGATTCGGGGTGAGTTGCCAGGTGTTGTTTATCCCAACCAGACGCACCGTGGTTTATTATTTTCAATTTCATTTTTAGCCGATCTTTACTACTCAAGCTTCCGTTTTTTGTTGTTGTTGTCTTTTTCGTTTCCTTTGCTCATCTACGCCCACGCCCTCAACCCTCTGTTAAATATAGTCTTCCTGTTTTTTCGACTTATGTGTAATAATATGTCCAGTCCATATGCTTATTACCGCCTGCGTTCCAACACGACCTCCTACTCGAAGTCTATGAGTCTCAAGCAGGTCGTCGTCTGCTTAACTGCTTGCTTTTGTCGAAGGTCTTTGTCGTCGCCTTGTCTGCTACGCAATTTACGCATCTCAAGCTTCCTTTGTCTTTCTTGCTACGTTCTGCAATGTCACCTCTGTGTTACACCTTAGCCGCTGCTCAAACTGTATAATGTCAGCTCTTAAGTCACCTCAATGCTCATGTTTCTGTGGGTTACTCCATGCTAACTTGTCTAACTCTGTCTATGCTGCTGTTCATTATTATGTCTATATCTTGTCTCGGTCTACTTGCATCTGCAATATTTCACGCTAATGCACCATCGCCTGAAACATTATGGAAATTACGTAATAAGGGGATGTGTAAGGTAGCTTTCTTCTAAATGCTCTTCGTGTGATGAAATTGTAGATATCGAAAATCTAGTAAAAATTATGAAATACTATCGGAGTTTCTGCCCTCAACCTGTTCTCTCTCTCTCTCTCTCTCTCTCTCTCTCTCTCTCTCTCTCTCTCTCTCTCTCTCTCTCTCTCTCTCTCTCTCTCTCTCTCTCTCTCTCTCTCTCTCTCTCTCTCCTCTCTCTCTCTCTCTCTCTCTCTCTCTCTCTCTCTCTCTCTCTCTCTCTTTCTCTCTCTCTCTCTCTCCCTCACTCCCTCCCTCCCTCCCTCCCTCCCTCTCTTACACCATTTCTATTTATCATCTGATTCTTGCAACTCATCAATGCAAAATCGAAGATATTAATAGAATATGATTGCATATAACAGCGATACTACTTTTTTTTTCTTTTTCTTTTTTTTTTGCAAGTGAGCTACATTTATTATGAAAGTCGTTACTTACAAAAATGCTACATAATTACAGAACACCTACGTTACTACTGTCTTTTGTTTTATTTTATTACAAACTGTGATTTCACATTTCCTTCACATCTAAAATATATCTTTCATGACTTTTTACATGCAACAAAGAAATTTTATTGAATGGATTTTTGTAATGGTATATGTATAATCACTTTGGTTGTTTCGCCCATGCAGTGAATAACGGAATAAGAATAAAGGCAATAATAATAAAAGTAATTGCAACTGATAATGAAAACAATGGTAATGATGAAGCTCGTCACCATCATGATAATGATTATGATAATCATAATAAAGAGAACGATAACAATAACAACGATGATAATGATAATGACGATAATGATAGTGTTAATGATAATGATAGTACTAATGATAATATAATGATAATAGTAATAATAACAATAATAATTATAATATGATCATCATTATCAACAATAATAATGATGACAGTGATAATAGAAATGATAATAGTAGTAATAATGATAATGACAATAATAATGATAATAAGATAGATAATGATAAAGATGGAAATAATAGTAACAATAAGGATAATGAAAATAACAATCGCAATGATAATAATGAAAATCATGATAATGATGATAATGACGATGATGATGATAGTGATAATAAGTGTAATATGATAATAACAATGATAATGATATTAACAATTCTAACAATAATAACTAAACTAATGATAATAATAACAATAATAATGATTATAAGAATGATAATAATGATGATGATGATACTACTACCCCTACTACTACTATTAACAATAATGATAATAGAAATAATGATAATGATGATAGTAATGGTTATAATATAACGATGATAATTATTATCATTATTATTATCATTATTATTATTATTATTATTATTATTATTATTATTATCATTATGATGATTATAATAATGATAATGGCAATAATGACAATGATAATAATACTAATAACAATACTAATACTACTGATAATAACAATACTAATACTAATAATAATGACAATAATGATAATGATAATGACATTAATAACGACAACAATAACAATAATAATGATAATGATAATAGTAGTGTTTTCTATATGAACGAAGATAATGATATTTATTATCATGATAATAAAAATTATAATAATTTCAATGAGAAAAAGAAGAAGAAAAAGATAATAACAACAATGCTAATGATAGTAATAATGATAATAGCGGTAACAGTAATAATTATTTTGATATATTCATTATTATCTTCATCTTTCTGATCTTTATTGTTTATACTTTCATCATCATATTATTAATTATTTTTACTCTATCCCCTATCCCTTTTCTCCCATGCCATGCCCTCCGTTTTTTTAATATTTCTCCTTCTTTCTCCTTTCTCATCTCCCTTCCTCTCTTTCCATCTCTTCATCACTCTCTTTTTCTTTCTCCTTCCCCACTTTTCCCCTTCCTACCCTCTTTCTCTCCCCTCCCTTCCTCTCTCATTTTCTTCCCTCTTCCTCTCCTTCCTTATTCTCCCCTCTTTCCCATCCCTGCTTTTCCCCTACTTCTCCTCCTCCTCCATTCCCCTCTTTTCTTTCCCGTTCCTTCCTTCCTCTTTACCCTATTTCCCCTCATTCCCTCCCCCACCCCTCTTCTTCTCCTCCCTCCCTCCCTTCCCCGCTATCCTCTTCCCTCCCTCCCTCCCACCCACCTTCCCTCCCTCCCACCTTCCCTCCCTCCCTCACTCCCTCCCACTTTCCCTCCCTCCCTCATTCCCACCTTCCCTCCCTCCCTTCCTCCCACCCCTCCCATCGCCTCCTCTCCCCCACCTCCCCTCCTTCCCTCACTCCCTCCTTCCCTCCCTCTTTTCCACTCCCCCTCCTCCCTCCCTCCCTCTCCCCACCCCGTCCTACCTACCCTCCTTCCCTCAGCCTACCCCCACCCCCACACCCCCACACCCCACACCCCACACCCCACACACCCGCCCGTGACTCACCCCCCCCCCCCCCCACACACACACACACCCCGTGACTCACACCTCCCTCAGCTACAGAAATACCTTCGTTTTCAGCACCTTTCCACGCCCACACGCCCACACGCCCGCACACAAGGCCACATATGGTTATTTTTATGCCGATGCCTCCCTTATGGGCAACGGCGGGCGGCGATAGGTGGATGGGTAGAAAGATAGGTAAGAAGATGTGTAGATGGATAGATAGATTGACTGGTGGATAGATGAGTAGATCTCTCTCTCTCTCTCTCTCTCTCTCTCTCTCTCTCTCTCTCTCTCTCTCTCTCTCTCTCTCTCTCTCTCTCTCTCTCTCTCTCTCTCTCTCCCTCTCCCTCTCTCTCCCTCTCCCTTCTTTCTCCCTCTCCCTCTCTCCTCTCTCTCTCTCTCTCTCTCTCTCTCTCTCTCTCTCTCTCTCTCTCTCTCTCTCTCTCTCTCTCTCTCTCTCTCTCTCTCTCTCTCTCTCTCTCTCTCTCTCTCTCTCTCTCTCTCTCTCTCTCTCTCTCTCTCTCTCTCTCTCTCTCTCGCTCTCTCTTCCTCTCCCTCTCCCTCTCCCTCTCTCTCCCTCTCCCTCTCTCTCCCTCTCCCTTTCTTTCTCCCTCTCCCTCTCTCTCTCTCTCTCTCTCTCTCTCTCTCTCTCTCGCTCTCTCTTCCTCTCCCTCTCCCTCTCCCTCTCTCTCCCTCTCCCTCTCTCTCCCTCTCCCTTTCTTTCTCCCTCTCCCTCTCTCTCTCTCTCTCTCTCTCTCTCTCTCTCTCTCTCTCTCTCTCTCTCTCTCTCTCTCTCTCTCTCTCTCTCTCTCTCTCTCCCTTCCTCCTCTTTCTTACATCACACAAATACCCAACCTTACAGGTAAGAAAACTGTAGAAACTTCTAGTCGATGATCATGGATCTACCCCCCCCCCCTTACCTAACGCCCCCTACCTCTCCCTCCCCCATACCCCATTCCCCTCTGTTTTCTCACCGCCCCCCCCCCCAGCCTTGCCCTCACTTCCCTTCTACCCTCACCCCCCCCCCGCCTTGTCCTCACTTCCCCTCTACCCTCACCCCCTCCATCTTTTCTTTTTTCCCCTTAACCCCAATTTTCCCCTCTCTTCCTACCTCTCTTTAGCCCATTCAGCTCGATACCTCGATACTTTTCCCCTCACCTACCCATCCTTTCCTTCATTTCCCCCTCTCGTTTCCCCTCTTCTATCCCCCTCATTTCTCCCCTACTCTCTCCTCCCTTCCTCTCACTCCTCCTCATCCTCCCCCCTCCTCTCTCCTCCCTTCCTTTACCCACCCTCGTTTCCCCTCTGCCCCTCCCCCTCCCTCCCCTCCCCCACCCTACCCCCCATTTCTGCCTCAGCCCCTCCCCTCCTTTCCCCTCCCCTCCCCTCCTCTCCCCTCCCCCACCCCCCCATTTCCGCCTCTCACCCACCAACCCTCGTTTCCCCTCCCCCCTCCCCCTCCCCTCCCCACCTTCCTCTCCCCTCCCCCCCCCCCCCCCCCCCATTTCCGCCTCTCACCCACCCACCCAACTTTCCCTCCCTTTAATTTTACGCAGCCTTCGCAGTAGTGCCACAGTGCCAAGGCATCTCCCCTCTTGCGCTTCCCCTCGTGCCCCTCTCCGCCGCTGCCTCCTCCGTTACGTTACGTGTGTTCCTGTGTTACGTGCAGAAGGTGAGATGTGTGCGACGTGAAGAAAGTGTGATGTGTGTGACGTGTGACATGCTGAAAGTGAGGCGTGTGACGTGTTACGTGTCACAGGATGCACAGACATGGCAAAAAGGATGTGACGTGTAAAATGTGACGTGCAAGGGAGAGATATGTGACGCGTGACTGACATGGTAAAAATGTGACGTGATACGAGTTCTTTTAAGTGTTATTCCATTCTATTATTTAACACACGGAATGCTGCTGACAGTGTGACAGAGATGCTGAAGTTATATCGATGAACATGGCGTAATTTGTAGCGAGTAACAGGACATGACAGCATGACACTGCTAATCAAAGTGTCAATGGGACACGAAACTTATTCATCTTGTGTGGGTGTTAACGTCTTATAAATGGGGATGACAGACCGAGGAGGAGGAGGAGGAGGAGGAGGAGGAGGAGGAGGAGGAGGAGGAGGAGGAGGAGGAGGAGGAGGAGGAGGAGGAGGAGGAGGAGGAGGAAGAGGAGGAGGAGGAGGAGGAGGAGGAGGAGGAGGAAGAGGGGGAGGAGGAGGAGGAGGAGGAGGAGGAGGAGGAGGAGGAGGAGGAGGAGGAGGGGCAGGGGGAGGCGCGCCAAGATTGCAGAGATGAAGGGTTTACAGGGTGCGCGTCTGCGGTTCAGATCATACAGTACATGCATACACATATACGTACGGATGTGTGTGCACACGCACACATACACACATATATATTCATATACATAAATAACTATATATATATATATATATATATATATATATATATATATATATATATATATATATATATATGTGTGTGTGTGTGTGTGTGTGTGTGTGTGTGTGTGTGTGTGTGTGTGTGTGTGTGTGTGTGTGTGTGTGTGTGTGTGTATGTTTGTGTATGCGTATACGTGCGTGTGTGTGTGTGTATGTGTGTGTGTGTAAAGAATGTATTTGTCTCTAATATGTAATCCCACAGAACTCGTCGTTATGTAAAGCGAAGAGGGCCATTTCGAAAGAAAGATCCAGTTTAAGCCCAACTTCAGCAGTAACTCAATCCTTACTGTTTAAAAAGGGTCAGTTTCTGTTTGCGGGAACTTCATACCTTGTGACCAGACCTGTCGAGTCTGTACTCTTACATTCGTCATCTTATTTATCATTCAAATCATAGTTAATCAATAATTGATAGAAATCCACAAGAACCTGTTCCACCCTCTCAGTCTCTCCTTCTCACCCACAGGAGACGGTTCTACTCTCTGTCTCCCCCCGAACTCCCCCCCTTCTGCTCTCCACCCACAGGAACCTTTTCCACCTTCTCAGTCTCCCCCTTTCATCCACAGGAGGCGGTTCTACTCTCAGTCTCCCCCCCCCTCAACTTTCCTCTCACAGAAGCCTGTTCCTCCCTCCCACTCACTCTCTCACCCTCAGAAACCCGTTCCACTCTCTCAGTTTCCCCCTCTCACCCACAGGAGGCGGTTCCACCTTCTCAGTCTCCCCCCGAACACACCCCCTTCTGCCTTTCCACCCAAAGGAGGCGGCACCACTCTCTCAGTCTCCCTCCTACTCCCCCTTTCACCCAACCTCAGTCTCCCTCCCACGCACCTCTCCACCCACAGAAACCTTTTCCCATCCTCTCAGTCTCCCTCTCACCCACAGGAACCTTTTCCATCCTCTCTTTCTCCCCCCAAACTCACCCCCTCTGCCTTTCCACCCACAGGAGGCGCGTCCATCCTCTCAGTTTCCCCCCAACTCCCTCCCCCCCTCTGCCTCTCCACCCACAGGAGGCGGTTCCATCCTCTCTGTCTCCCCCACCAAACTCACCCCCTTCTGCCTCTCCCCCCCACAGGATACCCGATGTCCCGCCAGATCCCCATGATGTACCGCGACCCCTTCTTCAGGGACCGGGACCCCTTCTTCAGGGACATCTTCTCCGACCGAGACATCTTCGGCGAGCGGGAGAGGCGCGAACACGTCTTCGACCGG